AGTGCATAAATGGATGACACTGATAGACCCTCTGTTACTGTTCATGTTGGGGAAGAGGATGTTAAAGAGCCCTTTTGTCTGTATCTTCACTTAAGTGGCTGAAGTGCATAAGGAAGGGCAGATCTTGCCCCCAGTTAACTTTTGCTAGCCTAACCATGTTTCCTGTACTGCCACCTCATGGGGTGTGCAGGTACTGCACCCAGCACATTATAATCATACCACAGTACCTCACGCTTCAGGTTACAGACTCCGCTAACCCAGAAATAGTACCTCGGGTTAAGAACTTTGCTTCAGGTTGAGAACAGAAATCGTGCGGCAGCAGCGCAGCGGCAGTGGGAGGCCCCATTAGCTAAAGTGGTACCTCAGGTTAAGAACAGTTTCAGGTTATGAACAGAACTCCAGAATGAATTAAGTTCTTAACCCGAAGTACCACTGTATGAGACACCTTAATGTTAAAGATGCTCTGCTTCCAAAATTATTCTTGGACATTTGCTTTACACATGGAAAATACATATGAATTTCTGTGGTTTGTTAAGGGCTTCCATGGTAGGCAAACATTTCATTTTACAATTTCACTAAATATCAACTTTAAAATGTAGACAAAGACTCTTTATTAGATATGGCAGTAAAGGGAGGAAATGTCATTTAAACAGTTAGGTGATTTTAACAGTATATGACATGAATTATTTAAAACATTTATCATTTTGGTAAAGGATTATAAATCTGTGGAGAGGGTGCGGGGATAATGGTGGATAGAGGTGGGGGCTATTATGGGGCTATTTTCTGTTATGTTCAAAGACAGAAAATGTTGTGCTAAAAAAATGGTGATACCCAAACATGCTTGAAGGTAGGATATGGGATGTTTGCTTGTTTTGCCTGCCTATGTCTCTCTTCTGTTTGTTTCCTGTGCACTTCTGCCAGTTTATCTCACATTTTTTCACAGAAGAAAATCTGGGGTGCTACAAAAAAAAAAGGAAGCCCGCTTTTCTGCTCCACGCACACTTCAGTATTTCCATGTTCCTTGTGGGTTCCAGGAGTGGAGTGCTCCAATTTAATATACTACACATACTGCGGGACATGATTACTCTGTGAATGCCAACATTGCCTTGCTTAATTTGGGGAAATTAGCAAAAACCAATAAATGCCAATCTTAATGAATACAAATGCTTATTCACATAAAATGGCAGACTGTGAATAAGATGGCTTTGCTACTCGAAGCGCCAGTACAGAAATAGAAAATAATGACATGGTTTGTTGTCACGAATGACCCAAGCTACCCAAGGCACATCTGCCTGGGCCATGTGCTTAAGCAGTTCCTACCGCAGAGATGGAGAGAGGTGGGGAAAGAATGCCCTAGCTAGATGGAGTAGAGGTGGGCATTAAGGAACTAAGAAAAAGGCAGTGGAGTGGAGGTTTAAAAGTATCAAAAGGAAGAACACTTGGGCTGGATGATAAAAGGCCTCCCATTTGAGCCTTCCAGTTACTGGCTCCTTGTTCCTGATTTCTGTTTCCCTGATTTGCTGTGTTATTTCTTGCCAGAATTCCCTGTGCTATTGACCCTGAACTACTGTGCAACTTCATCTCTAGATCATGTTTAGGCCTAGACTGATTCTCTGTGCTTGACCTTGATTTGTTTGGACTGTATAGCACTTGTAACCCTTCCCTTATGGTAATTGGTGGCATGGGTGTAGCAAGGATTTATGTTGGAGGGCAGGCTTTATGTTGGCAGGGGCAGAACCTCAGTTAGTTAAGTATTTTGTATTGATTTACTTAAGACGCCTGCTTCTTGGGAGAAAAGCGATGACAAAGCCTAGACAGCACCTCAAAAAGCAGAGACATCAACTTGCCGACCAAGGTCCGTATAGTTAAAGCTATGGTTTTTCCAGTAGTGATGTATGGAAGCGAGAGCTGGACCATAAAGAAGGCTGATCGCTGAAGAATTGATGCTTTTGAATTACGGTGCTGGAGGAGACTCTTGAGAGTCCCATGGACTACAAGAAAATCAAACCTATCCATTCTTAAGGAAATCAGCCCTGAGTGCTCACTGGAAGGACAGATCCTGAAGCTGAGGCTCCAATACTTTGGCCACCTCATGAGAAGAGAAAACTCCCTGGAAAAGACCCTGATGTTGGGAAAGATGGAGGGCACAAGGAGAAGGGGACGACAGAGGACGAGATGGTTGGACAGTGTTCTCGAAGCTACCAGCATGAGTTTGACCAAACTGCGGGAGGCAGTGAAAGACAGGAGTGCCTGGCATGCTCTGGTCCATGGGGTCATGAAGAGTCAGACACAACTAAATGACTAAACAACAACAAGCTGCCCATGGACCTTGGGGTCCCAAATTTCAGCAGTGCCCATACCTATCACCTTCCATTCTACATTATACTTGCAGTGTCCCCTGTGGCACCCCCGAGACTCCGCTCCCAGTACAACCAAACTAGCCGTGATGCCCTAAATCCACCTCTGCCTATTGGGCAGAATGCAGTGAAGGCTTATATTTTCTAGAACTGGGACCCTAGTCCTTGAGGGCCTCCCTTGGACAATGGGCACCAGTACATCACCTTGTAATTTTTTTAATAGAACATGCCTATGGTCAAAAGTTGTATGAGTGGGGAAGGGATTCCAGTTTGGGACCAAGGCCAAAGCCCAAGTTAAAGCTCCCATTCTACCCACATCACAATCCTGATCCCAATTAGGGAACCCGCAACCACAAATTACTTTTTTATTTTAAAGTCATCCACACAATCATTTATTCATATAGATTTTTTTTTAACCCTGCCTTTCTAATGCGTATGCATTACTCAGCATGGCTTACAATAATTTAAACCATATCAATATCAAACAAAATGCAGCAGAGGCAGCAAGTAAAACACAACCTTCAAATAAAACACAGTATCTGCCTGGCAGGCTAAATGCCTGTTTGAACTAAAAGAAAAAAAGAAAAAGTATTAACCAACTGACATAAGACAACCACGGGGGATTGGACAGTTTCATGAGACAAAGTGTTCCACAGTATTAGGAAGCCTGTTGTGTTCACTAGACACAGAGTATGACCTCTTTCTTGCCTACACCAACTGTGCTTCCACCAGATACAGATAATAGCTTCCATGCTTGATATTAATGAGCAGGCAGCTAGGTATAAGAAGAGGTGATCCCTCAGCAATTACTGATTGCCAAATAATATCGCATCTGTTTTAGTCAGTGGGCGACTTGTGTCAGAGAAGGCATTCTGAGCAGAACAACAGTACAATTTGTTTCAACCAAGTCATATGGTTGAATGCCTAGCAGCTTGGATGCAAAACAGTTACCCCCAAAATAAGAGAACTCCCCAGGTATATTGAAATACAGACACTTGTAGATTAAAGGAACTCCGGAAAAAAGTAGAAGATGGCTTGACAAGGGCCTATTAACTTCCATATTATCTGTTTATTGAGCATTCATTCTGGGGGTTTTGCACAAAGCTTGCAACGTTAGACAAGGTCAAACTTTCCAGTTCCTTTTCCTACCACTTTCCTTGTTGAAAGCCATCCAATTTAGACTGCTAGTATTTTTGGATTGGACTCAATACATACCAGAAAATTCAAGCGTTAATTATTGTTGATTAGGAGGTATTGTGCAACACACCTGCTTTCCCCAAAGATTTGACTTTTTTGTGATAAGGATAGTGGCAGATAAAATGGCTGGAAAGTGCAGGATAACACTTTCCTCGACTTGGCATCATCTAACCTCCCTGCAAACTAATCATAATGAATGCTCAATAAATAGCCAACATCATCTAATCTTCCTGCAGACCAATCAGGATGAACACTGATAATAAACAGGGTCTCTGGGAACGTCCTTAGCTGGGGAAGTAAGGCTTCTTGGGCTAAGTGTCAAATCATCTTTAATTGTGCAACCTGAATGTGCCAGTATGGGACCAACACAGTGTCTAGAAGTGCCTTTACAGGTATGTTGATGTGTCAAGCTGAAGAACAGGATGGCATTGGAAGCAGAGGACTGGCCTGCTCAAGCCCTCCTGGAAAAAGGAGATCCCTCTCCTCACCACACTGGGATGCATTTTGAAGGCAATGTGACTACACATTTTATAGAGTAAAACTCAGCAGACTCTTCAAGAGACCAAGCTCTTAAAAACAGCAATTCATTTTTGTAGAGGATTATAGATGATGGTGGGCAGGGGTGGGGTTGTTATGGAATTTTTGTTGTTGTTAGATATGTACAAAAGATAGAAAATGCTGCGCTCATACACACACATACATATGATGATGCCGAAATATGCTTGATGGTAGGACATAGTTGTGGATGTTTAATTCCTGCTTCTGCCTATGACTCTGCTCTGTTTGCTTCCCCTGTACTTCTGCCCTGTACTTCTGAACCATCAACGCCACAGCCAGCAGCTGGCTTTTGAGTCCTAACTTTCTAACAACCTTCCTTCCTTTTGGTGGGCAAGAATGATGCAAAGGTTTTTAGTAGTAGTAGTAGTAGTAGTAGTAGTAGTAGTACCACCACCACCAGTTGCTCAGCGACACTGCCCACGTTGATGAATCACACCACCACCAAGGAGATCTCCGGCCTAAAAACAACCAGGTGTTTCCCGTGTTTATAATGTATATACAAAATCATTGTGAACAGGTCAAAACCTTAGCAGGATTTTAAACACACTTGTAATAAAATAAGAGAACGTATAGATAACTTAGGAAGATGAAAAATTGGAGAAGTACTGATATGCAGTTGAACATAGAATTAAAAGGACCCATGGAAGGGACAGGGGGAAAGTCAGGAGATTCAGAGTAATCTCGAGATTTGGATTTTGTTTTATGTTTATATCTTTGAAAATCAATAAAAACGATTATGAAAACAACAACCACCAGGTACCGAGACTGCCCCTTTCCGCCTCCCGCAAGGGCAAGCCTGGTGCAACAGCCAACCCGCCGCCTCGCGTCCTAGTCGCGCTCTCGAGACCCGCCGAGGGCCCCGGCGGAGCAGATCTCCCTCGCCGGCCAATGGAGGGCGACGCAGCCTCCCAGGGCCTGCCCCAATTGGCGGGGAGCGCCCGTCGCTCAGCTACCGCGGGGCAGGCGCGCCGTGCAGGGGAAGTGAAAGTTGGAGCGCCTGGGCCGAGGGGAGCCAAAGCGCGAGAGCGGGCGGCGGGTGGGGTTCCAGCGGAGGAGAGCGGCGTCCCCGTCAGGCGGTGAGTCCGGAGCCGGGGCTCGGCGGCAGGGAGCCCCAGCGCAGCCCTTCTCCTCTCCCGTGGCCTGCACAGGGGGGAAGAGGGATTGGGGGGGGCGGGGAGAGCCGGCGTCTCCGCTCTCCCGACTGTCTGCTTCGCTCCTTCCGTGGGTCTTCCGACGAAAAGGCTCGTTTTTGCCTTGAACGAGCAGCAGTTCGACAGGTGTTGCTTTCCTTGCCGTGGAGGTGTTGTGCTGCATTTTTGCCTGTAGGGCAGCTGCTAAGGTGGCAACCTCCTATTTATTTATTTATTGTTATTGTTATTACATTTATAGCCCACCTGTCCTCCAAGGAGCTCGTGGTCTCCCTCTCTCCATCTTCACCTCACAACAGCCCTGCGAGGTGGGTTAGGCTGGGAGATAGTGACTGGCCCAAGGTGGCTGAATGAAGGTTTGGACCCTGGTCTCCTGCGCCCTTGTCTGACATACTAAGCTGGGGTAGCTTACAGCAGTGTTTTTCAACCACTGTTCCACGGCACACTAGTGTGCCGCGAGATGTTGCCTGGTGTGCCGTGGGAAAAATTGAAAAATTCGAAATTGAAAAATTTTCGCCCACTAGGCGGGCGCCGGACTGTGTCCACCCTATTTTCCATCCATCCTGGGTGGGGATCAGATCGGATGGGATCGGATGAGAGTGGACAGGCGGTCCACTCTCATCCGATTCCCCATAGAGAGCAGCGGGGCTCTGACATCTCCCTCTCCGCACACAGTGCGGAGACGGAGCTGTCATCCGCCGGCTCAGCGAGGATCAGCGGATCGATCCCCGCTGAGCAGAGAACAGTCCGCAACGTTTTTGTTTGCCATTAAAGAAAAAAATATTAAACCATGCTTGAATGTCGGAACTGGTTACTAAAATTTTTGAATCCCACCACTGATGTTAAGTGTTTGTGTTTATTTGATTTGTGTTTATTTGATTCCTATTCAAGAGAATTACTTTATATATAGTCAATATAGGCACAGAGTTAAATTTTTTAACATTTTCTAATGGTGGTGTGCCTCGTGATTTTTTTCATGAAACAAGTGTGCCTTTGCCCAAAAAAGGTTGAAAAACACTGGCTTACAGCTTCCTTCATCTCTGACCTTTGGCCAAGTTGGCTAGGGCTGGTGGGACCAACAATGTATGGAGGGCACCCTTTCTAAGCACTACACTGCCTTTGCGTGTAGGCCAGTGGTTCCCACTAATAATTCTTCTTATTCAAAAAGTGAACTCCTGTTCAGGTGGAGGAAGTCTAAAAGGCCATTAACTTGGTCTAACTCATTCTCGAATTGCCCCCCTTAAAAATCAAATTGCCCCCCTGTGGGGTGTGTGCCCCCATGTTGGGAACCATGGGAATAGGCAGAAATGCATCTGGTGCTGCTTTTCTCCTTGGCACATCTGAATTTGTAGAGGTCGTCCTAAAACTCTTTTATTACTGCTGTTAAAGGCCTAAAACAGGCATCCCCAAACTCGGCCCTCCAGATGTTTAGGGACTACAACTCCCACCATCCCTAGCTAACACGACCAGTGAACAGGGATGATGGGAACTGTAGTCCCAAAACATCTGGAGGGCCGAGTTTTGGGGAGCCCAGCCTAAAAGGACAGCTGTTTGTTTCTGTACCTGCCACATTTTAGCGTGAGTGTGCAACAGAACCATGCACACAGCTGGCTTGTTTGCATGTGTTGCAACCGCAGAGTTTTGTGAACGTGCAGGAGAGGTTCGGACCTTGGAGTCTGGGGGTTTGTGGCAGGTAGAGTGAGGAATGTATCTTGTGTCTGTGCAGGAAATGGCCCATAGGAGCGGGGAGCAGAGCCTCCGGGAAGAGCTGACCTGTGCCATCTGCTATGATCTGTTCCGAGACCCAGTCATGCTGGAATGCATGCACCATTTTTGCAGGGAGTGCATCCAGAGCTATTGGGATAAGAGCTCAAAAGTTGCCACCTGCCCCCAATGCCGGCAAAAGTTCCCCACCAGGTCCTTCCGTCCCCAGTACCTTGTTTCTGGAGTAGTGGAGACAGTTCGGAGGTGCACCTCTGAGGAACACAAGAAAAAAATGCAGGTGAGCAGCTGGGTGGCAAGACAGTGATTATTACTTCCTTTCCTCCTGGAGTGCTTCCCTCAATGAATTGTGGGGCTTGGCATTTCTCTCAGGTGGTCAACTTAGCTACAAAACAGGATGGTCAGATATGAACTAGGCAGGGGTACCTGGTACAGTAGTATGAGGGTTGCTTGGGACTGTACAGAAAGATTCAAGGAAGTGTGGGACAGACTTGTTTGGACCAAGAATTCTGGACAAGTGGAAAATTCCATTTGTCACCTTCTGATTCTAACAGAAGCTCCCATCAAGCAGTCTCCCCTGCAGCCTCTGAAGCAAAGACAAATAGCACTTTGACAAAGATATTTGTGTGTCTTTTTAAAATCTCAACTCCCTGTTTCCAGCTCAGTTTGCCAGCAGATGGCTTGCCTGTTATTTGACTGTGCAGAGCCCAGTGGATTTCTTTCCCCTGCATAATTTGCCCTACTCCTACCCCAGCGTCTTAACTCCCTGGGAGTTTCAGTCCAATGGCTGATTGTATTCTTTCTGTAGTTATTCCTCTTTGCTGTCTTGGGTCATTGCAACACTATTGTTTGCACTGGACTACCACATCACATGAGGCGCTTAATCAAAGGTCACGGGTTTCATATTCTGTTGATTCTGCACAAAGGCTAAAAAGCATGTCAAATATTCTGGGAAGGTAAATTCCCATCATAGGCCTAGTGTGGGATTTTCAGCTTTGTGGATTTCAAGGTAAGTCAGTGACATTGAGCAAGTCATGCTCTCGTAGCTTAATTTACAGCTGGGGTTATTGGAGAGTGAGGCTTGGGATTGGCAAGTGAATAGAAGAGGAAAGGGTAGCAGTTGATCAAGCAGTAATGGAAGAACAGGAAAGCTGGGGCTGCAGAAGTCAATTCTAAAGGAGAAAAAGAACATGGCAGTTATTGTTAAGGGTAGTACCCTGGCTTTTATTTAAGAAACTCAGGGAGGTAGGACTTACCTCATTTTGCTCTTCTATCAATCCTATGAGGTGGGAAAGCCGGCTAGGCCAGAAGTTTCGCATCCTTGCTCTGCTTATTATTATGCCATCCTGGCTCTAAAATTGATAGGCAGAGACTGTTGCACACATAATGATTAAGTGTTCTATCTATCCATCTATTTCATTCTTAGACACACCTCCAAGAGGCATTTCAGTCTTGCCAGGTGGAGTGTGAGAAACTGATGAGAATGAAGCATGCAGCTGAAGAGAACATCTGCACCCTGCTGGTACCAGTACATTCCCCACTTTTCCTTCTGTGGTCGCTTTTGTTTCGTGTTGGCTTGCTCAGATGAGAAATGCCAAAGTTTCTAAAGGTGGAGGCTTCCCTACAGAGGAAGAGATGTGTTGCTCTTTTGTATTGCCGGTGAGAAAGGGCTGGAAGAGATCAATTGGGGAGTCTTAACTAGAGAAAAGAATGGACAAAAATAGAAAACAGCTGAAAGCTGGGCCTCGGCAGGCTTATCAAATCAGCAGGGCTGCAATTGGGGCGTCTTGCTGTTTTGTGACCGCCCATCTTAATGGTTGCTTTAAATCACAGGCAAAAAGATAAAGCCGCCAAATAAATGACAGTTGCTTTGGGGTTGGAGCAAACTAATTATCTGCCCAGATAACCATTGATCTGCTGACGCACCTCAGCAGAAAAGAAGATTAATACCTCTAATTGCAGCACTTTCACAGAGGGAGCTGAGCAGTAGGGAAATTACTTGGGAGTGGTATAGAGAGAGACAGCTGAAAGCCACTAAGCTTCAGCAAAGAACCTCAAATTTCCCCATGTCACCAGGCTTCACATGCTAGATTTCACTTAGTCAAATCCAACCTGTTGGGTTTTTATCTTGGGGAAACAAGCAAAATGCCTCTTAAATAATAGAGGGAAGAGGGAAGCTTTTGTACACCAGGGTTTATGACACAGAATTAAACAAGACAAGTTGATTTTCTATAAGCTTCTCAGGGTCACGGACAAGGAAGGCGGGATTACCCCAAGGGCCTTTGGACAACAATGCCCATCACCACTCCCATCAGTCTTTTCCAAGCATCTTCAGGCAGGGGCATCAGAGCCACCTCAGCCTCTCCAGCACCAAAGCAAGTAAGGACCGCAGTGGGAGTTACACTGAACATGCAGCTGTTCTTAAACAGCTCTTAGCCGGACAGGTGGCAGGGAGTGCCACACAGCTGCTTGGATAACCCCCACCCACCTCCACCACCACAGCTTCAAAGTTGGAAAGAAGGAAGGGTTGGCCGCTCTTCATGCTCGCCATGGGGTAGCACCTCACTCACCATGCCGAGTGGAATAATGGAAACCCTTTAGCGTTGGTGTAATAAATGTCCTTCTTCACAGAGCACAGAGTCAAACAAGAGGCAGTGATGGCCACCAATGCAAATGGCTTTAAAATAGGATTAGGCAAATTCATGGAGAGGAAAGCTGCTTGTGGCTACCAACCCTGAGGGATATGGTCTCCTTCCACTGTTGGAAACAATATTCTTCTGAATACCAGTTGCTGGAAACCAAAGGAGGGGAGAACGCTGTTGTGCTCGGGTCCTGTTCATGTGTTTTCTCAATTGGCATATGTTTGGCCACTGTGAGAATAGGGTGGTGGATTCAGTGGGACACTGGCCTGATCCAGCAGACATGTGGTGAGCTTGCAGCTGGGGATTTGCCAACTAAGCGTAGTGCCTGGCTAACATCTTGGGTTGCGTCTTCCCAGTGACTTTTGTGTATTGGCAACTTTGAGGGTTGTTGGCACTAGTGACTCTCCCAAGTTGTGTTTTTCATTCACAATTATTTGTTCAGCTCTAAAAGTCCAAGGGAGCAGTGCCAAGCTAATTCAAAACAGCACCCCATAGAATCTCCAGTAAAATTGTCTGTCTGCTGCTCAGAGCAAAGAAATATGTCAGCAAGACTCCTGGCAATGCGAGCACTTAGTAGAGCATCATTAGCTGGTAGGGCAAGTCCTAGACAGGAGCCAGATGGTTCAGCGACTGCTAAAAGCAGCTGATATCCGGCCTGAGCAGGCGCTAGCTTTGGAGAGCTGCCAGTCCTTGATTAAAAAGGATCCCCATCTCGCATGTCTCATTCTTTCCTCCTTTTATGCTAGATATGTTACAATTATTGCCATATTTAAACATACTACACATTTGAAAAATAACATCCCCCCGAAAGCATTTAGGTACACTCTTTATATATTTAGGCCTCTCCTGCTCTTTCCAAGCACATTGTGCACTGTGGCCTTTTCAACAGTCGAGGAGACACAATGCAACAGTTCACTCTAAAACAATTGTCAGGGATGCCTAGAATGCCAATCTGAAAGCAGCCAGAACCTGTGATCAGAAAACCCGAATTTTCAAATGAAGCAAGTTATAGTAACTGGCATACAGATGTTACACACACACACACACACACACACACACACACACACAGTTTGTTGGTTTCATTATTATTTTATTTTGAAGACTGACCAAATGGGCAGATAAGAGATGGTTATGTGTTCATATGTTATGCATTGAGTTTGCTTGTTCTGGAAAGCTGCTGTTGCTAGTGCAATAATTTTGCCACCTAAGACATGGAAATGGGTTAGATACATCCTTATAGTCCCCTGGAAGAAGGAAGAAAATGGTTGCAGTTGCAACAATGTGTAGTTACTGTTCAGACATCTGTCTCTAAACAGTGTGGTGACCTTCTGACTTTCACACTCCCTTATCTTCTCCTTTATTTGTTACTCTGTTTATATTCCACCTTTTCTCCAAAGAGCTCAAAGTGGCATATATACTTCTTACCCTCTCCATTTTATCCGCACAAGAACCCTGTGAGGTAAGTTAGATTGAGGTGCAATGACTGGCCCAAAGTCACCTCATGGGTTTCATGGTCGAGTGGGGCTTTGAACTCTGGTCTCCCAGGTCCTAGCCAATACTCTAACCACTGTTCCATGCTGGCTCTCTCTTTGCACATGACAGGATGAGAGCGAAAGCTTTCAATTTCACTTTTGACTGAACCACAGTTTCTTGTTATATATGACTTCAGGAACTGTGGTCTATTTCAAGGGAAAGCTTGGGTGATCTTTTTAAGGTAGGATATGAACAAGCATTTTCCACACATGTTTTTCCCCTTTGATCCTCCATTTGTATGAGCCAGCAGACTTTTGGATTCTTACACTGCTTGTGGACTTCTCAGAGGTAGCTGGTTGGCCATTGTAGGAAATGGGAAACAGGAGTGGATGGAACTTTGGCCTGATCCAGATAGGATTTTCTTATGCTCTTATCTGTTTGTACCAGAAGACCCCCATGGGTTTGGGGTGGGGATAGTTAGTAATTTCCTAGGAGGCAAAGGCAGTGTGGCGACATGAATGGATTATCCTGCACCAACCTTTCTAATTGGTGGGGATTGAAGGTTGGATAAAGATACCCTACCACAAGCAGGGTTGAGGGAAAAGTGAATGAGCTGTGTGTTGGCCTAACTTTAAGAGACATAATATTGTTGTAGTTGAGGCTGAAGTCTGTCAGCAACATCAAAAGGAGTTGGGTGGCCTAGTTTAGGAAGCATTACTAGACACTATTGACAATGGCAAGCTGCAAGTAATGTGCACTTCTGAAGGAATAATTTGAAATCAAAATGAACTCTAATCACTGATAATGCATACTGATGTTCACTATGGAAACCCTCAGACGTGATGTGTAGCAGAGACTTTTTAAAAATGGCAAATCAAATAATGAGAGACATGGATATATTGAGGCTGTTTTGATGCCATCAGTGAAGTGGCTTCACCTGGGCCTTTGTATTTCATACTAGTCATGTCATCTGAAATCAAATACTGTACAGTTGAAGGTCAAAGATGGACAATGTGAATGATTAGTACTTTGATAGTATTTCTTTGTCTCTGTAGTGAAAAGACCTGAATTGCTTGCAGGGGAGTAGTAAATTGGAGAGAGGCCAAAGGCTGTAATAGTCAATACAAAACAACCCAGTGCTACCAAGAATACAGAAGATGTGAGGGAGCTTCTGGTTATTCTTCTCCAGTCCAAGAATAGGAGCACCACCCACCACTCACCACTCCATTTCAGTCTCGTGGGCTCTGGATAGAACATTCCACCTTGTGAAATTGTTCTTCAGAATTATATGCTTTTTATTCTTCAGAATTAGATGCTTTTGCACTACACAATTTACAAGTGCTCCCACTGGTGCGTTGCTGGAGGTTCTGCTTCAAATTCTAGACCATCTTGCTGAGAAGCTGCTTTTAGGATGGGCTTCTGGAGTGCATCTGGTCTCCACAAGACACCTGTGGCCAAAGCTCAGCTCAAATTGGGGTTCTTACACTCCGCATAGCAGAGATGAGCATCAGCGGCACTACTTGACAGGAGAGGAGTGAGTATCTCAGACTCTCACTCATGCTGCTGTATCGATAAAAAAAAAGAAAGAAATAGCAGGCCTTTCTTCCACTCTTTACCCCCTTATCTGAGACTCTGCCTCTCCCTCTGCACTTATGTGGAGAAGGAAAGCTGACATGTCTATCCATTTCCAAACCTTCCTGAAGTTCAGAAAATGCTCCTATCTCTTCTTTGAGTTCTCTGTCAAGCATGGAGAGAGAGACACATGGTCTTACAGGAAACTTTGAAGGATAGAAACAGCAGGCATCTCTGGAACTGATTACATAAGGTCAACTCCTGAGGCAATTTATCAGAAATTTATCAGGTACACTCAGCAGGAAGCAATCAGAGGAATAAGCCATAAAGAGGTATGTGGCGATCACACAGGACGTTTGACGGTCTATTGACCCTGTGGCACCACTGTGATTGCTTTCTTCACTGCCACCAACCCGTTTCTCACGGGTACACACGGAAGTCCAGTCAGTTGTTAACATTAACAAATAATTGAGTTTATTTTATAGGCATGAACAAGCTTATGGTTTCAGTTAATTTTTCTTGTCAGTTTCTTAATCTTAACTGTCCTATTCGTTCCTAACAACTTCAAACAACTTCAAACTGATTATCCCAACTAACTATCTGACTCCACCTAACAATTCCTCTCACTCTCTCACCACACAACTCGACCAACCCACAAACTGTTCCTCACTCTTCCTTCTCCAACTCCCCACTCTCAACTGATTTTCACACACCTCCGACTCTAACCCTAACTCCTCCTATCTGTTTCCACTGGCCAATCACATCACACTCATTTTAACCCTTTCCTTATGACCCACCTAGGAGGCAAATGCCGCAAGGTAGCTTCTAATTAAAGCTGTAGCAGCTCTGAAAAAGTTTAATCCATGCCGAAAAGACTGGCAATGCAGTTAAGTTTTATGAGGCCAAACAGTTGCCACCAGTCAGTCCTGAAAAAAGACAGGCGGGCCGAAGAAAAATGGTATTGTAATGAAACAGCATCAGCAGTTTCTTGTAAACAGTTCTTGAATGATGGATGGCAATTCCCGATTACCGTATTTTTCGCTCCATAAGGTGCACCTGACCATAAGACGCACCTAGTTTTTAGAGGAGGAAAACAAGAAAAAAAATATTCTGAACGAAATAGTGGATGTATGATTTTTGTGGTTCATGCTGTGGCCACAGGCATGTGATCTGATGGTGAATTTGGGGTGACCCAATGCAAAATCCTGAGGATCCATTTGGATCCGTGCTTTGTAACCACATTTTTGCACTCAGGAAACAGTGGATGTGTGATTTATTTGTTGCAGGCTGTAGCCGTGGACATGATATGTGATCTGATGGAGAATTTGGGGTGACCCAGTGCAAAAATCCTGAGGATCCATGAGCTTTTACCTCCCCCCTCCCAGACAGCCTCTGCTAGCGGCCCTTATCTCTCTTCTGATCCCACCGATCAACTGTTTCCTTTCAATACTCCCTTCCCTCTTGTTTGCCTTAGTGTCTTAGCTGGAGCAGTTTTTTGCTCCTTCTTTTCTTCTAATTTCTCTTCTTATTGCTTTAGTCTTCCTGTTTCCCCCCTTTGCAAGTTTGCTGTCTTTATCTCCCCCCTCCCCCTCCTTTATCTCTAGCGTCCCTTATCTCTCTCCCTGATCGGCAAACGATCAGCGGCTTTGTTTCAACACCCTCTTCCCTCTTTCAAAAAAAAGCATGATCTGCTTTTTGCCCCTGTGCAATTCAGCTCCAGGGACCACACATTCGCTCCATAAGACACACAGACATTTCCCCTTACTTTTTAGGAAGAAAAAAGTGCGTCTTATGGAGTGAAAAATATGGTACACATCTGGTATGGAAGCAGCCTAGCTTTGTGACAGCAAAAATCGCTGTGAAGCCAATGAACATGGATGCAAATGTTTTATATTAGAAGGGCCATAGGCTGCTCTCCCCTTGACCGACACCATATTGTATTTTCTGTCCCACAAATGTTTTGGCTTTACAATCCTCCTTTAATTACACAGAAGTCTGTGGATGTGGTTTCATCCACATGCTGCTTTCATACATAGCCCTTTTGCTGTTTCAGACAACATCTCGTGAAATGAACTCCAAGATCCGGGCAGAATTTGAGTATCTTCATCAGATCTTGCAAGAGGAAGAGAGAGCTGTGCTGACGGGGCTGGCCAGAGAGGAAGAACAGTGGTTGATGAAGCTGGATGGAGATGCCACACGACTCAGTATGGCGATAACTGAGCTGAAGAAGAGCATGGAGCACATTCAGAAAAAGCTTGATGAGCTGGGGAACTCATTGCTGCTGGAGGTGAGACTCATCATGCTTACAAGGCTGAGGTGGGAGGAGTTTGGGTCATGGGTGTCGGAGGCAGATTTGTATTTTCTCACGTTTTCTCAGTCATAGGCTCCACCCTCTCCACATTCCCAGACGCGTATCACACTGCACACTGGCAAATGCTATAGTTTTCTATGGATTGATTTACTAAGCAAGGGTGTCATCTTGTACTTCATTCTATGCATTCAGGAAGTGAGGCTTAAAAAATCCTGGAGTCGGAGCTGGAATGGACCTCAGAGGTCATCTAGTTCAACCCCTTTCTAGTGCAGGAAATCCACTGTGGCAGCATACCTGATTGGTGACCTTTCGGCCTTTGTATAAGATGCAGTGAGACCTGGGAGTGGTCATGTTTGTGTGTGTGTGTGTGTGTGTGTGTGTGTGTGTGTGTGTGTGGTTTGGGGGGGGGGGAGAATGCGTGTTCAAAGAAGTCTTTCCGTATTTTAAACTCCGGACTGAAAATGTTTGTCTCTATCAATAATATGTTTTTCTGCCCTAGACCAGAATTAGGCCTTGTCAATGTCTGCCAGATAACATTGTCAAAGAAGGCAAATAACTGTTGGCCTTTGCACTGAGATGTAAAGAGGTTTATCTGCCATTAAAAGTGTGGCCTCCCAAATTCCCTCTCTCTTTTAAACAGAGGTGAGACAGTGGCTGGAACACTTCTCTCACCACAAAAAAGCCCCAACATTACAGCTTTCTATTTGCCACTTCCCTCATAAAGGAAAACATGTGCCTGCCATTTTCTTCCCCAGGCTCCCCTCTTGCCCCATGGTAAGAGGCAGCCCTTTCCATCTCCCTCTAAGATTGAACTATTGCTGGTTGCTTGGTGTGATGCTTTTCCATAGTTGGTTGCCACGGTTACTACAGCAGGATTGTGCCGTGAATTGACCGAGGTAGCCTTTGCCAGGAGGTTTAAGCATGCTTCTCCAGCAGGAGCTGCTTGTGCATGCTGTGAGATTCATGGTCCTTAACCTCTGACAGGCATGAAGAAGCAGTTCGGGCTTGGAGACCGGTTCTGTCGTAAGAACTAGCTGCTCTTGGAAGTAGGGATGAAGTGCTTAGTTTCAGCAAGGCTACTGTATTGTGTGCCTTCGGACCATGCTGCGCTGTGCTGTGCAGGTCTGCATGAAAATACTTCTGTGTTTTTTCTAAATGTCTCAAATACTCCTTTCCTTATCTATCTCCTTCCATCATCAGACTCCTATGGGGTGGCTGGTAGTGATACTCCCTTGGCTTTTATTTTACTGCTTGTATAATTCTGAAATTTTAAATGCAAGCCGCCTTGAGGGTGCTTGTTAGAGCCAAAAGGTGGGTTATCATTTCTTTTGATAGGCAAGTACATGTATGTCCTCACTTCTCAGTCAAGATTATGCGTATTTCCAGCCTCTTTGCATGCCAGAGGTACAATATGACTAGGGAAATGTTGTTATGTGTGTATGGCATGCTCTCCTGACAGCTGACAGTGATACCGTCTAGGTTCCAGGCTTTTCAGTCTTGGTGATATGAGGAACCTGCCTTCTCTCTCATCTCTCTTTTGGTTACAGAAGCCAGTGTTTATATATCAGAACTAGCCCATACCCCTTCAGAATTTGCTGCCACCTCATTCATTCATTTATTCACTATATTACATTTATATAGCAACTTTCATCTGTCATGCAACTCAAGGAAACCTCCCATGTGGTTCCCTGGCAGCCACTTGAAATTGTAGGGCCATAATTATGTTTTTAATTGTCGTACTTCAGTACAGAGGCAAAAAATGGACAGGAGAATTTACTTGAGCAGCTGCAATAAGGATTAAGTGAGGGGTTTTGTTAATTTTCTCCTCTTTTTTCTTTTTCTTTTTGCAGGTGGAAAATGTGTCTGTTAGGTACGTGCCTGGAAAGAAAAAAAGCAGCTTTTGTTTTCATGAGCCTCTTATTTTACCTGCTCAGCTGGCCGGGGGGGGGGGGGGACTGTTATCGCTGTAGCTTTTAAAGCATTGGAAAATAATTATTGGGAGAGAAGCTGTTGGGGAATATAGGATATCTCTCCTTCTGGGCATTGTTGCATAGATGTGTTGACCTCAGGGTTCAGGATGTAAATGCAAAAGCACTGAGGTGCACCCAGGATTTAACTGCTTTCATAAGGTCCTCCCACATTACTTCAAGGAAATGCTCAGAATGGTCTTCTGGGGCCAATATGTTTATGTTCTAATAGCCTCAGAATACAAGTTGCCGGAAATCACAGGTGGGCAGAGTGTTGTGCTCAGGTCTTGTTTGCCTGCTTCCCATGGGCATCTGGTTAGCCACTGTGGGAAAAGGAAGCTGGAATCGGGGCCTTTGGAGCTGATCCTGCTGGCCTCTTCTTGTGTTTGACAAGGAGGGTTGGCAAATGAGCCTAAATAAATTGTGCAGGTCACCAAGCTGAATGCACCTCACCAGCCATATAATGTTGTCTGTCAGCTGCTTGAAAACCTTGCTTTTTTATTTTATTTTATTGTAGCCTGTGAAGGCAAGGATGAGGGGACAGGTTTAATGAGCCACCCAGGGGCTGTGCTTTGGTGGCCTGCCTTAAAATGATTATCGCTCTCTCAAGTTGTGGAGCTGCCAAGCTTCTCTAATGGCTAAACATGGGCGAATCTCGCATGCACAGCCATATCCCGCCTCTTGGCTGAAAGATTGCCAGAGCAGTTCATTTCCCAGCTCACTTTGCTGGGGAGAAAGGAGAGCAAATACATCCATATAAGATAGGTTTGAGACTGCTCTTTGGCTGCTGTCAATGTTGAGGAGAATTAGGGCATTTGGCTCATGTTTCTATGGAGTACTGTGCAGAAACTGGTGGATTCTATTTTATTATCATGCATGTTTCCATTCTGGAAGTTGGCTGCCATAGAACTTGTGGCCGACCACCTTCTGTCTCTCTAGGCAGTAGGCTACTTAGCCACTAAGGCAGAGGAGAACCAGTGGCCTGCTTATGTCAGAATCCACCCCACTCCAAGGTGGTGTACTGAAACCCCTAGGAGTTGCGTCCTTTTCCAAAGATACCTCACTCTTGAAATACCTCCATAAGAGGGGTTGTTCAGTAGAGATAGTGTTTTGCCCTTTGACCTAGGATCCCAGGGAGTACTTAGATTACAAGGACAGGAGAGGCACATCTTTTGTGATGGTCCCCTTAGCTACTGTTTTTAGAAAGCTAGAAGGAAAGGGGGAAAGACATGATTTGGCCCCCACAATAATTTGAGGACATTCCCTGCCATTATGTGCGCTAAGCAAATGGCACTGGCCAAGCCGCAACTGCCTTATTGTCCCATCCTTATGCTGGATGAAGCACTTTCAGATTGGTTAGGAGTCACTTTCTAAACTCCAGAACTTCCTTATCTAGAATCTTGTTTTGCTCAGCAGATATTTCTTTCTGCTCCAGGCCAGCGGTGCAGGTGAAAGAGTTGACCGCCTTTAATATAGAGCAGCACAAGGACCGGTATGATGGACCTCTGCAGTTTATATTTTGGAGAAGGATGCTGAAATCGATCTGCACAGGTGAGTCGCCCCCGCCCCCCAATTGCAACAGAGCATACTGGGGATATGGGAACAAAACAGAGTTCATAGACTCATTTGGTGACACCCTACCCAGTTTCTTTCTTAGAATTATCATTAATTCGATTAATAGTTGAATCCTGGTATATTCTCTTCCTACAGCTCCTGCTCCTCTGACCTTGGACCCTGAATCGGCTCACCCTAACCTTGTCCTCTCCAAAGACCTGACGGCAGTGACAGAGAGGAAGATGCCCCAGTCTGTGCCCAGAAGCCCCAGCCGCTTCCTGCAGTGTGTGAATGTGCTGGCAAAGGAGTCCTTTGAGAGTGGAAGACATTACTGGGAGGTCTGGGTGGGCACCAAGACCAAGTGGGACCTGGGAGTGGCAGCGGACTCAGTGGACCGGGCAGCAAGGGTCAAGCTATGCCCCAAGAATGGCTACTGGGCTATACGGCTGCGGGAGAAGTCTCGTTATTGGGCTGCAGCTGCTCCCTGGGTGCGTCTGAATCCTGGGCGCTTGCTGAGAAAAGTAGGTGTCCTGCTGGACTGCAGGGCAAGGAAGGTGGCCTTTTATAATGCCGAGGACATGTCCCTTCTCTTCACTTTCCACCAGGCCAGGGCACGCAGGTTCTACCCTTTCTTCAGCACTTGTTTCGGCGATGGCGAGAACGCAGAGCCCATGAGGATCTGCCACCTGAACCTGTAGGAACATCCTGAAGTCTGATTCCATTCAGCAAGACTTGGTGGGTCCCTCTTGTTTCCTGGGAACACATAAGTTCTACCCTGTGTGTCTCCCCGCTGTGATGAACAAGTTAAGGGAAACTGAACGGTTTTGCAAAGAGGTTTAAAAAAACCACAACCCACTCTTCTATTTCATAGGACGAACACCACCTCTTAGAATGCATAAAACAATATCAACATGATGGAATGTATTAGAATAGATATTAAAGCAGATGAGTAAGAAGAATTAGTCGGTTCCTGGTTCATTCCCCCCCCCCCAAAAAAAATTATAATTACGTCCCCTTCTCCAGGTTAATGCCTTCTTCTGTCTGGTGTACTTAAAGGGCCTTGTGCTTTGTAGAGGGTGCTGCCTGGTCATTTCTGCCAGCTGTATAAGATGGGAATACAGCCCAAAGCACTAGGGGTCAGTAACACACAACCACAACCATTGGACATTTTGACCTGCATTCTGACACATACAAAAACACAGGTGTAGAAAAGCTGGAGCCAAAAGTGATAATGGCAGAGACAAGGATAGTTTGTTGGTTGCATTCATAGCCCGCCTTTTCTCCAAGGAGCTCAATGTGACATATATGGTTCCCTCCCCTTCTCGTTTAATCTCCACATCAACTCTGCGAGGTAAGGTAGGCTGAAAGACAGTAACTGGCCCAAGGTCACCCAGTGAGCTTCATGGCCAAGTGGGGATTTGAACCCTTGTCTCTCAGGTCCTATTCCAACACTCTTAACGACTACCCCACCCTTAAAACTACCCCCAGGCTCTGCAACACATACACCCATGCAATCACAGCACAACATAATCGTTCATACTAGTTGTGGAGGAAATTAGATTGTCAAAATAAGACGGCACAGTGAAGAGCTGAATAATGGTGCTGAATAAAGCAGTGCAACCTAACAGTGGCGACAAGAATGGCAGATTGCAGGAGAGAGGATTGGGATCGGTACACCTTCATGGACTAAGTCCGCATTGGCAGAGCTATGCTTCGTGGACGAACCAGTGGATGATAGAATTGCATTGGAGCACTGTAGTTCAGAGTAGCTTGTATATTTGGCAGAGATGCATAAGAGGCCTTTGTGCCAGTTTTGGCCTGTACCAGGACGCCACGGTTTGTTTTCATATTTCACATTCTCTTGCCGTACCGCTTTTTAAAAATAATAATAAACGCTTGCTTCTGCCCATTCTTCCACAAGAGTTTTCAGTTTCACAAGCTGTCATTGTTTTTGCAGCAGTGCACAAAATGCTCAATCAATCAGTCCTTTACCCAGTGTTGACACTAAAGAATTTCTTCATACGAAGAGTGGAATTTCCTTTTGCAAGGGTGTTTTTTCAGTGGGTATAAGGAGTTCCTGTTCTTGGTGCAGGGCCGCATTTTGCCAGCAGAGGGCTCTGCATGCTAACGGAAGGCGCTGAGTGATGGCGTTGATGCTCAGCAGTTGCTGCATGCCTTTCATATTTGGCATTGAATTCTTAGCCAGTTCTTTGCAAGATTGTTCCAGCATGCAGCAGCCTTTCTTTATCAGGAGCCATATAGAAAGGGTTAACAAAGTTATCTGCTTGTCAAGATTAGCTATTTCAAAGTATAGCGGGCTGAGTTGTCCTCCTTCTGCCTGCCACTAAGATAGCCAAATTTTACAGTAACAGAAATTTTACACATCTGCCTCTCAAATTTTACAGTAACTTCCATTGCTGCCCCCAAGACTTACTTGGTCATAAAAGATCCAAAATTCTGCCAAGGGGTTTTAGAATTCTTTACTAAATCTGACAGTAGTAGTTTAAAAAAAATATTATTGACAGTGTACAATTAAATTAATGGAGTTGAAAAACTATTAATTTAGTTTTTAATGTAGATATATGTATATATAAATATAGTTTTAATTCTATTAATTTTTACTTGTTTTTAAATTTATTTTTTCTGTTTTTAGCTGTTCTTATAGTAAGCTGCCTTGAATCCCGTTTGGGGAGAGAATGCAGGGTATCAAAAACAACAGCAGCAATCCTGCAAAACAGGGTGGACCAGCTGCTCAACTGATAGAACACAATAACTTAAGTATTTAAGTGAATATTTTCCCATCTAATGTCCAGTTTTACACTCTGTATTAAACCATTATTTTGGTTTTATCACAATACAAACTAAATTATCTTAGCAGCCTACACAGTTCAACCTGTGAATTGGAAATTAAAATAACATCATTAGCACAATAAAAGGATAACTATCCTATTGCAGCCTACTTTCACAGTACAAAGATGATTGCTTTTTAAGAAGGGCGCTATATCCTTTAAAAACAATTTTAAAAGTACATCCCTAGCAACTGAAAGGCTATTTGAAAACTGATAATTTAACCCAGTTCTAGCCGGTAAAGTTGTTCCAGAATACATCCTTATGAAGGAGCTTAATAGTTTTAAATACCTACTGATTGCAAATTTCTCCAAAAAGCATTAGGGAGGGATAGAGTCAAAGACTGCTTTCAAGTCATTGAGAGCCGTGAATCTGCTTCTCTGTGCTTGCCAAGGTATTTGTTGATAATGCGCTTCAGCAACAAGCATTGATCAATAGTTGAATAGTCATGACTCTTCCACTCTGAGAGATTCAGTGCCTGTCTCATGCAACCCATGCGCATGAAGCCACTGCACAACCGCTCTGTGTTAAGTATACAACTGCACGAGGGAAGCTGAGAGGTCACACTCGATGTGACTGACTGAACCCCTTTTAAATGAAGGCAGTGGCAATTTGAAGCAGGGACCAAAACTGGTGCTGGGCCTTTCCCCTACCAACCTGTGTCCATCCAGATAGAGTTGGATTCCCAGCTCCCATCATCCTTGACCATTGGCCATGCTGGCTGGAGCAGATGGGAGTTGGAGTCTAACCTGTGGGTTAACCACCAAGGACACACACATTGTTGGGGGCAATTTGCTAGTCTTTGAACCTGGCCAGGACAAATGTGAATGGGTGGGGGGGTGGGGGAAGGCAGTGCAAATGTGTATGTGAACCCGGTCTTCGAGTGGGTGTTTGATTTTCGTTGTTGTGTATACTGTGTATATACGGACAATGACAATAAATTATCTAAATTATCTAGATGCAAGAAGAGATCAGCTAGCTCCCCCCCCCCGCCCTTTCCCTGCTTGAAATTGCTTCCACCCCTGCAATGTGGTTCAAGTGAGTTTTGAAAACACAAGATCCCATCTAGATCTGCCCCACAGCCTTCCTAGTGCAGCTTTAGTGGCTGGTGCACAACTGTACTGCACAGGGGTTAGAGGCACAATGTGCTTGTTCAGGCTCCATTGCTTCTCCTTGACCTGCTAGAGCTATTCTCCACAACTTTTGACTTTTGGGGTTTTTTAAATATAAAAAATACTGTTCTCAAAATGAAAGATGAGAGTCCCATTCATTTGAGGAATGTAACAAATGGCGCCTGATTCTGCTATTTGTTTAGATTCCTAAGACTGAGGTTGGAGTGACAGGTTTGGACTCTCTTCAGAGCTGCTTTAATACTTGGAGGAAAGGGGCGGGGGTTGGGGATTACCTCCTGGCTAAGAAACCCTCGTCTGTCAGCAGCCTTTCTAATGGGTGAGATTATACGGAGCCTTTCTGTAGCTCAAGGCTTTCAACAAGCCTGGTGGATCCAGGCCCAGTGGGCAAAACAAACATATCCATTGGCAGAAGCCAGCAGCTTTGAGGGGTGAGACACTGGTTGAAGATACTGTACTTGATGGATTGGTCACAGTTATCTAATCTTAACAGCAGCCAGGGATTGCCAGTGTCCTATTATTTTACCCTGGCACTGAATGAAGCAGATCTGTTCGTTTCCCAGAAGCTCATCAATCTGGTTTAAAAGTGTTACAGGAAGGCCCAAAGGCTTTGTGAGAAGGCTCCTTCCCACTTTCCCAGTGCATAGGTACGGCCTAATAAGAAATGTACATTCACATCTCAAACCTGTCCTCATTAAAACTCAAAATTTTAATAAAGCATGCCAAATGTATGTGAAGTCAATGAATGTAAGCTTGATTACAAAGTGTGAACAAAAGCAGTAAGTGGGATAGACAAAAAGTGTGGTGGAGGTATTGATCCAACCAAGTGGGCTTCCTTCAGGGAAATTCAGAGGACAGTGTTTCAAAATTCAGGTGTGCTACACCTTCTATTTCTTAGGACAGCATAGGAAACAATTAGAGGTAGCACATTTGAATTTTGCATTACTGTTTGCTGAATCCCTATAGCGTCTGAAACATATTAGGTCAACAAATCCCCTCCTTTCTTTGGTCGGCCCCATTGCCTTTTGCATTTGTTGCTACTTGCTTTATTTTGAGGGCAGGTTCCCATTTTTGTTGGGGCTTTGATCACTCAATGTGCTTGTTTTTGCACAGTTTGGAATATTTTAGTAATGACTTGGAGCATGTAAGGAAGCAGGATAAATGCATTCCTGCAGCAAACAAAAAGTACTAAGCTTTTCTCAATTCTGAGGTTCTTACAAATGGTAGGAGCTTGTTCCTTTTTAAGTGAAAGCTGAGGAACAGGGCACTATGGTTCACCTTGGGGGGAGCATTGTTCTCATACACACGCACCCCTACAGACGTCCGTGCATCTCCTTGCATGTATATCATGGTATCTGGCCTTAGCTCAGTCTGCCTCTGACACATGTAAGCCATATCTAAATTTTCTAACAATACCTAAGTACAGAAGAGTTTTGCCCTCCAAGATCCTAGATGACAGATTTACCCAAGTTCCCTTCAATGGCAGATACGATCCTTGTAACCATTTGGAGTTTGAAACACTCTTAGGTCTTCTACTAAAGCTTCTGTCAATGTTAGAGAACCCATAACGGGTGAAGGAATGCATAATTTATCTCCTTAGGAGGCAGTTTCCTGGTTGATCCTTGGAGACCCTTTCAAGTGTCTACTTTGAGGGGTCTAATAAATCCAGTGCTTTTTTTTCTAAAAAAAATGTTTAGGGGTACTCTCATTTTCCTACTCAT